ATCAGCAACAATAGAATAAAGGGTACAAGTACAGATATGGGAGGATTTTACTTTTGGCCTTTTTCTTTATATAGTAGGCATTTCAAAGCCAAAGGTAACTTATATGCAGTTATCGAATTCTCACACTTATCTTATTGTTAAAAACCTGTTTATTGTATTGTTTCGTTTAACTGATTGTAACATTGTTAAATTGATTACTGCATTATTGCATTACTTTTAAAATAATCATTGATCCTATTAATTATTACTGACCTTATCGATCTTATCACATCACTTAAAATAACCATTAATTATTATATTATCATTTGGCACATTCTACGTTACTACTACATCATTACTTTATTGCTTATATCATCAGAAACCTCTCTGACATCTCTTTCTTGTAACTTTTATATTTTGCCTCATTTTACCCTACCCTATTATTACTACCTTACTATCACTGAGCTGAACTCGGTACTTCTTGTCAACGCTCTCCTAAATTCTAATAGTAACAAGTGGTGTCAGTTGTATGGATCAGAACAACATACTTCAGATCTGCCATGGATGAATAATTTTAAACATATTTTAGAAACAGTATCGAACACAACCAACATCATTATACTTTAAAAAAGGTCCCACAGCAATCAAATACCTTATAGAGCACTACCTGATAACTCTTGCATTATTTGCTTTCCCTTTTATAACAGAAACTCAGTTCAGTTCACCAATTTTTGGAAGTGGTTCAGCTTAGCTCAACTGGTTCTTTCATTTTCACAAATATCTTTAATTTGCTTTGACATTTTTTACAATTTTCCCATTAGAGGATTTTTGGATATTTTATTAAGAAAGTTTATCTTTAGCTTCTACTACTTCAAACAACCTGACAATTATTCAACTCTGTTAAACAAAATTTTAAACATTTATCAAGACAGTAATAGGTTTCTTAAGGATCCTTTTGAAGATACATATAACTTCAGTGAAACTTTAGAAGATGACGTTAACCTTCTAATAGAAATTATTGATGATATAGCTCATAGGAATAACAATAATAATAATCGTAACAACAATAACAATCTTCTTGTTGACCCCAATGCTAACAATCCTCCTCTCAACAACCCCAATTTGAACCCACCCAATCAATCTAACTCTATAGATAATCTTGCCCAACAGATTGCGGCCTTGGTAATACAAATATGACAAGTTTCTGCCCCACAAATTAATTTGCTGGCCCCTCAAGTCAACATACCCCAGATAAACATCTTAGCTCAAAACCGTAAGGTCAATTTGGTCTTGTACCCTGAGTTCACGGATGGAAAGCAAGATATGATTACATGGTTGGAAGATGTTGAGAAGATGTTCGAGGCAAACCAAGTCCAAGACAACTATAAAATTCCTGTAGTTATTCCTAAACTTAAAAGCACCACCGCCACCTGATAGATTAGTGTTAAAAATTTCCAACAGCCTGTTGATAGATAGGATGATGCTAGGAACCAAGCCCAAAATTTTAAATCTACATTCATTGCCCATTTTTGAACCCTTGCCTTAGAAAGTTAATAGTTCGCACAGTTGCCCAGCGGAAACAACTTCCCCATAAAGATGTAGATATCTATCATATAGCAGTTGAAGAACTTCTGCAAAAAGTCGAAGATGGTGAACACCATTATCCTGATACCACTAAGACCTAGATGTTTATTAGTGGCCTAAGACCTAATCTTACTACCTCTGCAGCTCCTTTCTACCAAATACTCTCACCGCTGCCCATGAAAGAGCAAAAGCATTTGAAAATACGTACACCCAAAATCTAGTAAATCTCAATGCTCATTTCACCCCTTCTTTCTATTCGCCTCATTTTGTAACCCCACTATCATTCAACTCGGACTGAGTTAAGACTGATAAAGTGCTTTTAAAATTGACAGAAGCTATTAACAGAATGATGATTCAGATAAAAAAAACAAGGAACTGCCCAGAAGGAGCTAAAATAATAATCCTCAGAGTCCTGCCTCCATTGTGGACAGAACGGACATTTTACTCACAACTGTCATAACTTTCTTTAAGGTATGTTGACCGAAATGTTGCTACTAGTAGCAATACCATCTCACTTAGCCAACCCAATCGGCAAGTTAATAGCCATTAAACTCCCAGTAACAATGAAGCCTAATGGACTATGCAAACTCTCTTAAATCTTGTTGGGGCAGCTATCTCTGGAAATGAAACCCAAATCTTTTTAAACCTGCACAAAGTAAAAGATCCTGTTTTTGCAACAGCTAAAGAGCTATTGCCTATTAAGCACAATACTCGATCCAAGAGATATCAAACTGAAACTCCCCTCCTTGAAGAAGCAAATGATCAAGACTAGCCAGTTGAGAATGTATCTCAACCTATCTCACAAAAATGGAATAAAAAACCTTTGAAGTTGACTACTATATAAAGAAAAAGGCCAAAAGTAAAATCCTCCCATATCTGTACTTGTACCCTTTATTCTATTGTTGCTGAT